CTAGAACAATAGGAATTTTTCCCTATGGACCAATAGAATGCAGGTCTCGTACTGCCTATTCAGTTTAGAGGTCCCGCAAACATTGCATTTGCAAGCATTTGCATTCCAAGAAACCTTGGCGGACGCAAAATCTCGCAGTACTTACAACACCCCGTGAGACAGACGCTGCAAGTCAACATGAAGATCTTGTTGGCTACGCTCATTAGCTTGATTCTCTGCAGTGCAGTAGGTATGGTACCTCCTACTGGAGTTAATCTTGATGTAATGCAATGGACTTCAGGTCATTTCCAGTCATACGCATTTCGCTGATCTCGCTACAAGTCGTCTATTCACTGCACATCGAAATCGTTTCGCAGCGGTGTTTATTCGCTTTAATTCGGAATCTTTTTGGTGATTATAAAAGGACCGTTAGTTTGCTACCTTTGCCGCATTCTCTATTTCTGTATTCTCCCTTTCTAGCATACTTTTCTGTGGTGGATTCGTTTCAACGTTTGTCGCTGGAAACTAGTCTGTTATGCTCTTATGTACAGGAGGTTATTACACTGGCTTTACGATGGATAAACTTCACGAGTCAGGGGAACGGAGAGTAAACCGTCAATTACAGTGAAAATATGTGTTTTAAGCGACTCATCTCCTATTAAGAACTCGCTAATCTATTTCGTGCCGCAGTGAAACGAAAAAAGCTTTGCAGCGAAAAGACCAGACACCGCTAATTAAAATTAATCGCGCTCGCCAACAGAACTTTCATCTTTATTCTTCAAGTTCGATTGACTTTTCTAAAGTTGTGAAACACATCGAAAAGCTCGTGCCCCTGATGATGCTAGTAGTCGAGGGTTAGCTAGTTTTAGAGCCAAATACAGTAGGGCAAAGAGATCTAAATAACTCTTTAGAGGCCCTATAAATATTTAAAATTTTATTCAAGCAGTTTTATACTTCAGTAACGCTGAGTTAAGTGCAAGTGCTAATGAAGGTGTACATGTTAGCCAAGGTGGGATTGAGATTCTAGGGTTTGAGTTAAGGACGTAAGTCACAGCCGCAAAAAAAACCCAACCCACCAACGACAACTTGATTGTTCAAGATAACGTTTGCCTTACACCGGTTTCGCTACTTTTTCAAATTCGCCGGCTACGGCTACTTCGCTACCTACATATACTTGGCTCGCTGCCTATTTACAAAGTCCAAAACTTACACCACCAGAGGGGTAGGCTTAAAAGAACGAGAAAAGAATTATTTTTTCTAGTCGATTGAAGGAGTTATTTTCAATGGTTTATTGAAAGTAATGCGTAGCGAACGTGTTTCGAACTAGGAGGTAGCGAATTCGACGAGTAGCATAACCGCTACTTGTTACATAACATTTATATAAGGTTCAAAATCTTAGCACACGCTTCTGTCTTAGTAGAAACATCTAATTATGGCCAAAAACAACGCCACTCTCTTCACAAGAGTACTGTGTAATTCATGTTGTCGAAGGCGCGGTGCTTTCCTTTTTTTCCCGCCAAAAAGCACTTGATAAATAAAGATCATTTTGGGCGGACGCATAGTCGAGATGAAACAGGGAAGTACTTTTCCCATGGTCCAAGCTCAACAAAGCAGAGCATTCAAACGTACTTTTGCGAGATATGAATTCTCCAATCTGACATTTTCTCTAAGAATTTGTCAGTGAAAGGATTTTACAAAAGATCGAAGCATTTTCCCTCTTTTGATCATTTCAATGATTCTCAAAACTTTTTCTCTTAACTTATAAGAAAATTTATGTGCACTCTGTGGTCTTGCAGTTATCGGTTTACATGAAGAAAATAAATCCGTTTCGGACGCGGCGCTTTTACAGTTTTTACAAAACAAAGTCGTTACAATCTACCTAAAATTGGCCGTGAAAGCTTGAAACTAGTATGGCATGGGTTAATAAAGAAATATGGGACAAATAAGTTTCCGTTTGGAGATAGAACCAACCGGTAAAACAATAATGCCTTTACAAACTTTCAGTTTCGGACATTTTCGGATCCATTGGCACGACCTAAAGCTTTACTTTAATGGTTAACAAGCAAGAGTTATAACAAGTCTAACGGCTTTTATAATTCACCAACAGTTTCAATACCAGAGTAAGTGTTGGCTGGACTATTATGGACTCAGTGTGACATGGTTTTAACTGAGTCTGTGGACAAAACTCTATTGTGTAACCATTCAAAGGAAATGTCTTTTTTGATACTTTCGCCTGGAACTATTTGGTTTTCAGAGTTTATGATAAAATTTAGGAGTTTTGTTTGAGTTTGGCTTTGCTTTTGGTCGTGGAAGGGTTTATAACAATAAGTCATCTTTTAAAATGCTTAATGAAACCCATCTGGGAATGAAAACGTCGACCATACAAATTAAAGAAATCAATTTTTACTGATACTTTCCATGGGCCAGGAATATTTGCTGGTGTAGTACTTTTACTAGAAATATGTACTAAAAAATGTGTCACCTGATTATCTCTTGAATTATCTCACTGTTTAAGCTTGGTCGCTTACTTGCTATCGATGCGGTGGAACCTCTCCAGCATGTACCAGTTCCAGTAAAGATACAGTGGCATGTGGCGACGAATCGCTACCGAAAGCTGAGTACGGCTGTAGGGTGTACACGGTTAACTACACTTCTCTCAATTCGGTCNATAAAATTTAGGAGTTTTGTTTGAGTTTGGCTTTGCTTTTGGTCGTGGAAGGGTTTATAACAATAAGTCATCTTTTAAAATGCTTAATGAAACCCATCTGGGAATGAAAACGTCGACCATACAAATTAAAGAAATCAATTTTTACTGATACTTTCCATGGGCCAGGAATATTTGCTGGTGTAGTACTTTTACTAGAAATATGTACTAAAAAATGTGTCACCTGATTATCTCTTGAATTATCTCACTGTTTAAGCTTGGTCGCTTACTTGCTATCGATGCGGTGGAACCTCTCCAGCATGTACCAGTTCCAGTAAAGATACAGTGGCATGTGGCGACGAATCGCTACCGAAAGCTGAGTACGGCTGTAGGGTGTACACGGTTAACTACACTTCTCTCAATTCGGTCTTCGACATCAAAGGTAAGAAAAAGTACCAACAAGGTAACGTTGTTACAGAACTATTGCTCTCACAATTTCCTAAACAAACAACAAGACAACAACAAAATTTCATTTCCAGAAAAGAATAACACTGACCCACAGGCTAGGTAGCAACTACTAGGCTAGGCGGGACAGACAAACAACTGAGGGTTAACCTTAAAAGTTCTTAAAGAAACGCCAACTTATAAAAAAAAAAACCCGTGACGCAATCGTCGTTAAACCTTAATGATTATTTACGCCCTTGATCCAAACGTTAAGCACTTAATGGAAACAGGAGCCCTGCCCTACACTAAAACCTGGTTCGCTACTAGCCCACTAGTAGTGAAAAGCGGGGGCTTTTTGCCGGCAAAAAAGGACTCATGTCTAGCTTTAACTAGCTAAACTTTCTTTATTCTCGATATTTTTTACCATTTAGTTGGATTTTACTAAAGCGATTATTTCCTCGAGCCCGAACGGGCTCGGCCTCATGGGCTATTGACTCAGAGGCCATGAGGGCGAGAGGAATAATTGTTAAATATTACTTTAAATTTGGTAACAACACATCAATCACTATGCAACAAACAAGTGAATGACGAACACATGACATTTACCCTATTTACATCTAGAAACTTTAAGAGTGCGTAATTTATTGTCTCACAACTACAAAAACTTAAACAATTAACAGCTAGCATGCGGACGCAATCTTTTTTGGTAACCGAACTAGCTATGCGCATGCGTTCAGTCACTGTGGAAGAGTCCTGCGTCTTATGACCCATAAAACTAGCCAAAAGTGCAAATTATGCTAGCAGTGCTTTTTTTTATAGAAAATAGATAAAAATTATGTTCGTAATGAGGAATTATGCCACAAATTATGCCAGTACAATCTATTAACGCCTAGCATGGAATCAGTGCCTCGGACATTACGTGGGTAGTTCAAAGCCAAATTTCAATCTCAAAGTAGTACGTTTCTAGTTTGTTCTTGTATTTAACCCGTGTTTTAGCATTAAAATTGTTTTAAAAATCTATCCCCTCACTTAGTTCATTCTTATTCATTGATCGGTTAGTTATTTTTATATTTGTTACTCATAGAAATTTTACTAATAAATAAATAATTACTTGACTTTTTTAATTAACTGAGGATCTTTCTGTAAAAACCCTTCGTTATGTCAGAATCCTCTTTAATTTTTTTTTTTTTTCACTGCGGGTTTTCTGTAAAACCTTTCGTTATGTCAGCCTTCTCTTTAAAAATATATATATAATTTTGTTTTTTTCAACGCGGGTAACCAAAGGAGCCCGCAGTTCTAATCTCCAGCCTTCTATTACACATGCGCGGCATGTATTTAACCAGCATTCGTTTGGTCTTCCTCTAAGGATGAATGAAAATGCGCAAAACATAACCTGATCACTCGCATTTTGAACCATTATTAGTCTTAATCTGATCATGTTCGTTTTGACCTTCTATCATGTGAACTTTTCGCAAAGACTGACATTGTTGCAGTAAGAGCCGCATTTTGACCTTGGATCGATCTAGCCTGCACTCCCTTACCTTTGGTGATAACTAGTTAATCAGATTCCAAAGAATTTTTCTATTTTTGGTTATCAGGCTGCTGTTTTGTTGAAGACTGTAAGAAAGATCCGTGCGAGGGATCTGTACAAGGTGCAGTTTGCTCCAACGTGGCTAGCTGCCAATCAGACAAGTGCAACTACAACTACACCACTGCAATGGCTGGTCCTCGGCCGACGGTTTCTTCAAAGGCTAACATCGTTTTTTACGGCCGTCAAGTTACAGCTCTTATCATTTTGGCTATTCTTTACTTGTCCATGTGAGAAGATAGTGTCAGGCGCATTTTTCAAAGTTATTCTTTTTCACAAAACCGTACTTCTTTATCAGTATTCAGTTTGATGTTTGATTAAGGGGCTAAACCAGGAAAAGGAATGACCACTTTGTTTTCAAGGCAAGGGCTAATTAATGTGTGATTCAAGTTTGGTTATGAAATAAATGACCATTTCTATAACTAGAATCTCGTATATGACTTAAGGTTGCAATGTACACCCAATCATTGTTTGTCCTTTGGGAGGGGACAACGCTGCCAGGTTACAAAAATGAAGGGGCCCTACCGAAAGGCACAACTAGAATCTCGTTTTGAAAATTTACTTGTACCTTGAGATTAGAGCGGTTTTCACTTGACTGTCGAAAGTAATTGGTTTTGGTTTTGGTTTTGGTTTTACTACGCCCTTTGGTTGGCTAGTGTATTTACTTTGGTTTTGGTTTTACGACAGTCAAGTGAAAACCGCTCTACCTTAGTGGTATTGATTAGTGGCTTTGAAATTTTTGATTACAATAAAGATCGTGTACAGTTTAAAAACAGTTCCCGACATTTTCGGCATTTTCAGTCCTCCCGTACTGCGAATCTGGTAACGCCCTGATATTCTGAATTAAAGATCACCTCAAAGCTTACGCTAGAGGCATTATAATTATATCCCATGCACAGTATAGCACTGGCTCTGAAGAAGACTTGTCCTACCAGTAGTTGAGCGGCCTCCGTCAAGCAGCCGCGGCTAACTTTGTTGTCACCCTAAAGAGTTTTATAAGCCTGTTGAGTACAGCTGACCCTCTCTTAAAACAAAAGGCGGGGAGACGGAGACTCTCACCCCCCAATATTTTTGAGGGGAGGCGGAGGCGGCTGTATATAAGCTATCAGAGGCCGCTTGATAAACTTGGTTTGGCATTATTTTAAAAACATGATGAAGGAAAATAAAATCAAATTTAGAAGGGGACGACTGATTGTGGACCAGTAATGCCGCTCCCGTTGATTGTTGGTGTCAAAATAACGCTACGTTTCAGCAAGAGATTAGAGCGGTTTTCATTTGAGTGTCGAAAAGTAATTGGTTTTGCACTTTCTACACGATGCGATTGGCTTTAAAGATTCGCGCCACCTTTTCATCCAATCAGAAGTAAAACCAAAGCCAATTGTGACGCGCTGGCATGCATTTTCCCGCGCTTTGTATCAGCCACATGTAATTACTTCGAGTTTTGATTGGTTCAATGTATTGTCTGTGTCCTATGTGATTGGCCAGAGTAATTACTTTGGTTTTGGTTTTACGAAACTCAAACGAAAACCACTCTATGCTAATTTATAACAAACCCCTACTGAGTGGTAACCACCATTAAGCGGCCTGACTTACCGGTACCCCGGGGGTGGCCAGCGCTTAATGGAGGTCCAACTGTATTGCCCTGATCACTGAAAGTGCCTTTTTTCCGAACAGATATTTCCTAGAAAACGGTCGTTGGATGCCCCGTGCTAAATATATTGAAAACACTTTTTAGGCTATCCAGAGTACTTTAATTTAGATCTCTAAGTGGCGCTATAAAATTTGTATCTGTTCGGTCATCCAAGGTGAACTTTAGTCTTTTCGAAATTACAAGGGCTTCAGTACTTTGCCGAAGCTTTTAGATGCAATTTAAAGTTTTACCAAAGTGAGAATTTTTCTGATTCCTCTCTCTATCACATTTTCTGATTAGAAAATTTTAGGTTCCCTTTTCTAAGAAAAATAACTCAACCTGTGGAGTGAAATGCGGAAAATTAAACCTTTGAAAATCGTAAGAGATTTATTTGATAAGCTTCGAAAATTGTACATGGATGGAACGGTCATCCAGAATTTTTTAGCCTTCCTCAACCTGTAGACAATTTTAGGCAATTTTTGCTTCTCCGTGAGATATTTTACAGAAAACGGTCGTTGGGTGCCCCTGGAAAATGGATGCCATGGGCTCTATCATGCTAAGGGGTGGTTGCGTCAGGTCCACGATGAATTTTCCTAAAGACAGTTTATAATCGTTGTCTTTTGTCTAAGGCATTATCCTAACTATTAATGTAAGCCACACTGAACATTTTTTATTTTCATCAGGCTACGCTGTTTTATTAATTATCCCAGTTAATCAATAATACATGAAGACATGTTTCTCAGCCGCAACACCATACCACTTCTTATTAAAGAATCACTGACCCTAATACAACAGGAAGCTGACACGAGATCAGCTCAAACCAAGTTAGTTAGCGGAATATAGTGTGGCGGTCAGATTTTGAATATTTTCTTAATTGCACGGGACAGTTCGTCAGCAGCAATATCGGAGCTCTCGTCTGCACCAACACTGGAGCCTTCATCTGCGCCGATGCTGGAACCTTCATCTGCAACTACACTGAANGAAGACATGTTTCTCAGCCGCAACACCATACCACTTCTTATTAAAGAATCACTGACCCTAATACAACAGGAAGCTGACACGAGATCAGCTCAAACCAAGTTAGTTAGCGGAATATAGTGTGGCGGTCAGATTTTGAATATTTTCTTAATTGCACGGGACAGTTCGTCAGCAGCAATATCGGAGCTCTCGTCTGCACCAACACTGGAGCCTTCATCTGCGCCGATGCTGGAACCTTCATCTGCAACTACACTGAACTCTCCATCTTTAACACGGTCTTCATCTTCCGAGAGGTCTTTACTGGGGAAAGCAAGCGCGTTGGAGAACAACACTGCAACGGATAATTGATTACAACGACGTCGGTAATTTTTTGACAGGATTTCGATCAAAACACTGTTCTAAACAAGGCTAGACTAGAATTGACCTTAAATGTTCGTGTGCCACATACAGCAACTCCAATACCACATCTATCCCCTTAAAATAATCACTACACTTTATTTGCCAGAGCTGAAAACTATCTTTTGAAACTGCATGGGATATAACATCAAATAATAAATTTCCCCTAGCAGTGTTCAAAGTTAGTAGCGGAATTTTCTGGAAGGACGGATTGACTGAACTTTAACATCGATCGATGAAAAAGCACGCCTCGTGCCTCTTTAATATAGGCTTAAGAAGAGTTTTATTCAAAATTACACATTAAACGAGGTGAAAGTTCGTCCAGTGTTACGTCGATAGTATTTTGAGTATTACGTCGGTACTTGCACGATTAGTGACGCAGAGGATTCCCAAGAAGATTTCTTTACCTTTTCTCATTTACTTTTTCATTTACTTACCAAACAGGCAAAAGACGAGAAGTGTCCTCATCGTAGCTTTCACTGGCCGGGCGTTTTAGGATTCCAAAAAGCGCTCAATGCGGAGTTTACAAAGCTATAAAATGCCCGTTCCCTAAAAATTGCTTTTATTGCACTTTAAGTCAATAGGAAAAGACTAATCAGTGCGCATTTTGTCAACAGTGTAACGATTTTAAATTACCTTAGTATCTCCTAGATACTGAATGAAAGTTAACTTTGGATTGGTGATGCTGCTTATATATTAGCCAGGGGAGCTGATATTTGGTCAGCATAGGTAAGGGCTTGATGAGTATGCGAGAAGAACAAATTAAAAACCACATGATTTCGTCGTCAAAAAATTGCTCTTCCCCCCGGCCACAAATATATGTCTTATTCAACTAATTGTTGCAACATGCTTGCAATTCAGTTGCGCTCCTGATCAGCATTTCAATTTAAAAAAAGGAATTTGGTCAGTGGTATGCTAATTAACAACAGCAACAATATCTAAGGGTGCTGGATAATTAAGTACCGTTCACTGATTTGAATTAGTTGGGAACGGTATACGTCTCAAACCATAGTCAGTATCCGCCTTTAAGAGAGTGAAAACTGAATGAAGAAAGGGAGCGGAAACAAATCTAGATGTCTGATACAGGATGGTGTCCTTTAAGCCCCGGTAAGTATCATAGTGTGGAAAATTAATTAAGAGGCCGAGGGTAATATTCTTCCCGAAACCCTTCTTCCCACCCTAAGATATACAGAACAGTTTTTTTTTAAGAGAAGTACGTTAACTGTATGTTAACCGCACTGTACAAAAAAAAACGTTGGTATTGCACATTTAAACACTCATTGCCAGCCTTCTCACTCTTCTAAAGGCTCCCGGACCAGACCCTGTGGTAGGGGGATGCCCGGTCTTTTTCGACCCTTCTCGCCTCAGTTTGATCTAAAAATAAGGGGGGGGGCTCCCCAGGCCACTCCCCTGTATCCGCCATTGGGGAAAGCACATTTCGAAGTAACTCTATTAGCATGACTCAGATGTAATCTAGGGTAAATAATTCGTTCTTGTCAATGAATGTAGTCAGCAACTCTACCTGAAGAGAACTTGGAACTTTCATTTCGTAACCTAAAGTTACCTGGTATCGCCATTAACTCTTATTTATCTATGCTTCGCTGATTTTTAATTACAGCACTCAGTGGACTTTATTTCTTTAATTAAAGCGCCCAATGAATTTAAGTATGATTAAATACGCTAATGTGCTTTATCACATAATTGCACAACTCTGTTTAACCCAAGTTTGACGATTTCTTCGAACCTTCACTAACGATGAGAGCACGGGGGAGATGATATGAGAAAGTTCTTTCTCAGTGGAGCACTGAAATTCAGGTTTGGAAGTGTGGAATTTCTATGGACTGGGCTCAAGCATTTACTTGATTTCTTTTACACCAATTAACAACTTCTAATATAGTCTATTACAATCTTTTGACCGGCCTTAAGCTTGTAATACTGCCGTCTGGGCTTCTATTGAACATAAAAAATCATGTTATTTTATGCCAGGAACCGNCTGAATGAAGAAAGGGAGCGGAAACAAATCTAGATGTCTGATACAGGATGGTGTCCTTTAAGCCCCGGTAAGTATCATAGTGTGGAAAATTAATTAAGAGGCCGAGGGTAATATTCTTCCCGAAACCCTTCTTCCCACCCTAAGATATACAGAACAGTTTTTTTTTAAGAGAAGTACGTTAACTGTATGTTAACCGCACTGTACAAAAAAAAACGTTGGTATTGCACATTTAAACACTCATTGCCAGCCTTCTCACTCTTCTAAAGGCTCCCGGACCAGACCCTGTGGTAGGGGGATGCCCGGTCTTTTTCGACCCTTCTCGCCTCAGTTTGATCTAAAAATAAGGGGGGGGGCTCCCCAGGCCACTCCCCTGTATCCGCCATTGGGGAAAGCACATTTCGAAGTAACTCTATTAGCATGACTCAGATGTAATCTAGGGTAAATAATTCGTTCTTGTCAATGAATGTAGTCAGCAACTCTACCTGAAGAGAACTTGGAACTTTCATTTCGTAACCTAAAGTTACCTGGTATCGCCATTAACTCTTATTTATCTATGCTTCGCTGATTTTTAATTACAGCACTCAGTGGACTTTATTTCTTTAATTAAAGCGCCCAATGAATTTAAGTATGATTACATACGCTAATGTGCTTTATCACATAATTGCACAACTCTGTTTAACCCAAGTTTGACGATTTCTTCGAACCTTCACTAACGATGAGAGCACGGGGGAGATGATATGAGAAAGTTCTTTCTCAGTGGAGCACTGAAATTCAGGTTTGGAAGTGTGGAATTTCTATGGACTGGGCTCAAGCATTTACTTGATTTCTTTTACACCAATTAACAACTTCTAATATAGTCTATTACAATCTTTTGACCGGCCTTAAGCTTGTAATACTGCCGTCTGGGCTTCTATTGAACATAAAAAATCATGTTATTTTATGCCAGGAACCGGTCAGATATTTTAAAAAATTTCACGACAGTTAATTTTCTTTCTTTTTTATAATAATTTTTGGTATCATAAATTATTTTTACCATGTGTTCTTTCGTATATTGTCTTTTAAATCAAACAATCATTGAAAGTTCAAAAAAATATTTGTCCAGAACTGCACCTGAAATCACAAACGCCGTAATTTTTAATGAAAAGGTTTGCCCAACGGGCTATTGAAAAAAAAGAAGAAATATTGAACTTAGGGAGGGAATCTAAAAGGTCATGTAATTTACAACATAAACTAAAAGCAACGGTATTTTACGTAAATCCATGGAATAATTTTGTTATTTTTACCTTATAATTACAAGTAAACAGCAAGATAATTTATGACATAGAAGCGAAATAACGGCTGTAGATTACGTTCACATTATTGCAAAAAGTCTGTGAGTAATTTTTTTTTTCATTACTAAGTATAGCTGAAAACTCTAAAACCAATTTGACGCCAAAGTTATGGATCAACTGATTTATGTTTCTGGGAAACTGCCTACCTACCCCTCCCCTAACCCAACATTTTGCCCTAAGTGAGAAGAAAGTGTTAATGTTGACTTAGGGGAGGGGTAGGTGGGTAGTTTCCCAGAAACCTACGTTGATACAAAATTATTTCCCAGGTACAGGATAAGTGTCTGCTTCTTGAACGCTAAAAACGTTAGTTATTGATGTTTCTTTGTAGCTGCCCAAAACTTCAAATCGAGATTTCTCGAAAACGTTCTTAGAAAAATCGCTTAAATACAACTCGAGAAAGTTTTATGAAATTCTCAAACTCATTAATAATTCATAAAGAAAATTGATGGAAATTGAGGGAAATTGATGTTTAACGAGTGCTGAGTGGAAATCAGATGAGAAACTGATCAATTTTGTATACTTAATTTTTCCTGCTAAAATCATATTTTTGAGAAGTAATATCAAGCATTCGACACAGTGTTTCATCACCAGATGAAACACCTCGAAGTTCGTTCAATATACACAAAACAAAACAAATTGCGATCAGCTTTGCAGTAATCTTTGAACTTCTCATTTTTTGGTTCATAATATTTTAGCGGATTAGATCTCTTTCTAGAGATCCAACGTTTATAACCAGCAGGATCTTCGTCCACGGTTTTTGCAGTTAATTTCATTAATTTCTTCGTCCAAAATACTCCGCTGCGCGTCGTATTTTCAACTCTCTTCTCGATCTCGGTGTTTCATGTGGTGATGAAACACGGCATCTCATACTTGATACATTACTTCAAATCTAACAAGCAGCTTCATAGGCGAATGTTATAGACGAATGTCAGTAAATTTTTTAAAAAAACGAGGAGGTATAGGTGTTGCCATGGATACGCCGATCTCGGAAAACTAACCTTAGGGGCCGACCATTTAACTCTTGGGGGGAGGGGTGGGTGATTTTCATTCATTCATTCATTCCTTCTTTATTTGCCATATATGCAAAATTTTACAATGCAAGGTTGGAATCATGAGATCATGAAGAATTTTTTTTCTAGCAATCTTGTGGGCAGGATATTTTTTTCCCTTTTTTTCCCATTAGCTTTCTATTACATTTGTGCTGCATGCAATTTTTTTCTTCCGACAAGCGCTTGCAGGAATTTTTTTTTCAAAATCATCCACCCCCCCGCCCCCCCCTCGAGATTTAAATGGTCGGCCCCTTATTTGGAAACGCTAGTCTGTACCCCTCAAGTTGGTACAATTCGATTTTCTGCTTTGTTTGAGACATATTTACGTTTCGTGTTCAAAGAGAGCAGGTGTTGTCATTGAGAAACTGGGCCCAACCACCTTAATTAGGTGCCGAAGTCAGAGAAAGCTTAAGCAGGGGCTTCGGGAGGAAAAAAAGTCATAAAGTGAAATTCTTTAAACTAGTTCTAGTCCTCGCAATTTATCGTTTGCATTTTTTAACTGTTTCCAGAGGCCTTTGACAATAACCGAGCGCAGCCTAAAATTAGACAAGTATGCCCGTCCCCAGGTTCCGCCGTTTAATTGGAAAACAAGAAAACCTTGGGGAAGAGATTTCCGGTGGAGGCCATGATGCATAGTAATTTGTAATTCATTCATTCAGTGCTATGAGAACTAAATTTGTGTTCTCTTAAGTACCGACATTGTTCATTCGCTCTTTATTCTTTGTCACTGTTAAGGTGAATGATATTATATCAAAACAAAACACTGAATGTCAGGTCCCTCGGGAAACCAGTTAGTTTTGCTTCCCTCCAGTCCTATTGATTTCCTCAACTTCGTCCCGGGAGACATCAGGACTCTCGGGAACAACAAATTTAACTGTTCAGGGCCCTCAGACCTGACATGATACACAGCATGTCTCGTAAATTTAAACCGCACAAAAACTCACATCAACAAACCACAGCATATCAGGAATACATCAGGTGACGCTGGTCACAAGGATCGCGGCTCCGGAGACGAAAACAAACAGAGAGGACCGAGAGTTTTTTAGGGGCACCCAACGACAATTTTCGGAAAAATATCTGTTCGGAAGACGATTTGAGATCTAGAATTTTCGGAACATTTGTTGTAAAATTTCTTGCTTGCCTGTCTCCCCTAGTATTTTCGAACATATAAAAAATGGTAAAATTGATCATTTTCAACGGATTTTTACCCTAAAAAGGTCACCTAGAGTTTTCGGGAGCCTTTTTTCTGGCTGGAATTTTCGAACAGGTAAGTTTTGATCCCTATAATTTTCGGATCACTAGACTTTCAGCTGGGAAATCCGAACAGATGAAAAATTTATAGGGGATAAAAATATGCCCATATCCACCGTTTAAATACTAAAACACGTTTAACAATGCTATGTTTAAGTGGTTTTGAACTATATTCTCGTTGGGTGCCCCTGGTTTTTCCAGTGTCACGCAGCAATAGCAATTAGCAATCATTTTGGCGTTGTCTTTTCATTGGATCTGAATGAAACCTAGTCTGTTTGTTCTGATGTCAGTGTTGTTTGAATCTCACTGAATTTGAAAAGGATAAACATCGTCTGCGAATAGAAATTGCAAACCCTGCAAACAGGAAGTTGAAAACATCGATACTTTTAAATAGCTAAACATCCCCAGTCACCCTTCCCATGCAACATAAATCGACGCGGTGCTCTTGAACTATAATGGTTGATTTTAGTCATGCAAATTTTCCCCGAAAATTACTGAAAACAATAACTTGGACGCCGAGGCGGCAAGCAGGCAACCGGCATTAAAAATAATGGCACGTATGGTTGTGCTAGGATGCTGTCTCGTTATTATACCGGCCATGGGTAAGTTAACTTCACTTTTTTACTGTGTTCTAATATGATCACTGCTCAAGAGATGATTCGATTTTCTTGTAATACCGTAGTTTTATATAAGGACAGTGAACTCGCTAGCTCAGAAGGTCAGGCGCACTTGTTTTTCTACCGAGAAATAAATAAATTTAACAGCTCATTTCATCGAGTCGCAGCTATGGTGGAAGAGCTAGTCCGTACCGGCGGGTTTCAAACTTGCTCCCGTTTCGCCTGTATAGTATAAATTTGAAAACAGCAGATTCAATAGCTCTACTCAAGTTGTACACCAGTTTTATGGCGCAGAGTGTATCGAAAATGAAGTCTCCTGGCTGACAAAGAACAGGCTTTTCGAGGTCGAAACGTAGCAACGTGTCAACATACGAAGTAAAAAAACTTGCAATGGTTGTTCATACTTCGCCCAAAGTGTCACGAAATTTATGTTTTTTGGTTACGTATACATAAATTTACTTTTCCCTTATAATGCTATTTCATCATTCATTCGTGGGCGATAGTTTAAGGACGAATGCTTTTGGCCTCATTTCATAAGCCAGGTTCTTCTTGTTATCATTTTTCGGTACATAAAGAAACTGCTATTAATAAATATACAGAATTCGTTGTGACACTGAACACTGGCGAAATATTTATTGTTGATGACAGTGCTGTAGAAATACTATCTTAAGGTCCTTAAGCTGCGTTAGTTTTGAATGAATTTTGTTGTGCGTACGTCCTATCAACTTAGTACTACGTTCGATTGCCACTGACGCTACAGCACGTAATTCTGAAGAAGTCACGCGACATTTCAAAATGCCCCGAAAATCAACATTTCCCACAACAAAACTACCTAAATTTTTTCCAATTGTTTTCTAATTTCATGTAATTTGGAATGAAATATATGTTTCCGAACAATTGTGAAAAGTAACCTTTTCCCCGTCGTTTATTAATTATTAAGAACTAAAAATTGCGAACATTTTTTGAATAAAGATGTCGGTTGCTTGAGAACTCTTAAGACGTCTTCGGTTATTCCGTATCTAGGTTAAAGTGTTTACATTCTCAGAATGTTTCTTTTGTGTGTGTATGATGATGTGTTAAAAATATTCGATAAAATGTTCGTGTTGCTACGAGCAACATAGAACTAACTATACTCTGTATCAGCTATTCTCCTGTCGTCAGACGAATGTAGTATTTAATAGCACTCTTCCCTTCCTTTTCCTTTCTCGGGTCATGTGGTGAAGGAGTATTTTTCTTTTTATCATCGCCCCCGCAGGGATTTCGAAGAGAGGGCGAAATCTCGAGGAGGCACTCTAGTAACTCGCCCGAATATCAAGGAACGTACTTACAGTTCAGGGCCCAGTTCTTCGAAGGCCGATTAGCGCTAACCCAGGGTTAATTTTTAACCCGGGTTTCTTTTTCTTTTTTAAAAGCATTTTCTCGAATAATTTTCTCTCTTCTTTATAGAGCATTCATACAAGGAATTTGATGACGAAAAAAAAATTCATGCGGCTTGAAAATTCCCCACCCCCCCCCCATAACTTTTCTAATGGTCCATTAGGATGACATTAGGTAGATTTTGTGACATTTATTGTACAGTCGTACTTCGATACTCTTTTGCGTTACGTGTTATCTGTGACATTCTGTGGAGCAGTTGTTTTGCCAGTTATGGACCAAAAGACACACCCGTTAAGCCAGTAGAGGTTATAAGATGCTGAGAGAGTTTGCCGGACAGGAGTTCACAGATCTTCGGATTGGAAACAATTCGCCAGACACTCTTCCTTTCTCTTAGGGGGAATAAGACTCAGTCCCAAACACTCAAGACGAGTGAATTTAGCAGAACTATAGTCTCGGCTACACGGCCTTTTTTAGTGTTGTCACGCAACGCTCCTCCCGGGAGAAGCGTTGCGTGACGACACTAAAACCGGCTGTGTAGCAGACTAGCAGAACGATGGAAGATTACAGAAATTCACTGACAATCAAATTCTGTGCTGATTGATTCCCTGCTCACTTATCCTTCTATAAAGTTTTAAAAAAGACTAGAACGCGCGAGCGTGAATTGATCAAACCTTTTAATTTCTCCGGCAAATAAAATGAACTGAACTTGCATGGCTCAATTTGACTTGTAACCATGCCCCCCCGGGCACACCCGCGGAGATTTGCAATATATTTTTTTCTTTCATGGAGGTCTCAGGTTCCCCACCCCGGGCACGCAGAAAGTAGATCATTCCCCACCCCCAAGCTCCTGATCGACCTCATCTACGCTTTTTGCGTCCCTTACGTCGATGTTATTTTGTGTTTGCGTTTTATTGGGATACCCGATAAAAAAGCCTCTGCAGAAGAGAGAGACTCTACTATGAACTATGCCAACTACACACACCTTGTTATCATGATCGCAGAGCGTGATAACACTCCGTATAACTTGAATACTATACTTCTAGCAGCGATCATTACTTTAACAGCACAATACGGTGGAAGCTCTCCAGACGGACACTCTCGTAAGCGGACAGCTCTACTTACGGCCACCTTCACACTACAAGAGCCCGTTTTCCTCAACTCCCATACAAACACTGTATTTTTACAATCCCTTGAGTGGCCAGCTGCAGCTACGGACACCTTTTTCGCGTCGCAAGGGTGTCTACTTACGAGAGTTCCACTGTCGCGTGGGGTGATTTTCACGCGCGCTAGCGAATCCGATGTTGAATCAACACATCAGCCTGAAATCATCAACCAATCGTAACTAAGTTTCATGACGCTAGGTGAAACATGATTCATTCATCCCCGGTTGACCACAGACTGAATTATCGCTCAAGTAAAATATAATATTTCAAACTCAGCTTAATTTCATTAGAAACGGGTTGACTGTTTTGTGAGAATTTACCCGCGGAGATTTGCAATATATTTTTGTCTTTCTTGGAGGCCTCAGATTCCCCACCCCCGGGGTTTCAGAAAGTAGACCATTCCCCACCCCCGAGCTCCTAATCGACCTCATATACGTTTTTTGCTCCCTCTTTTTGATCCGTACAAGAGAAAAACGACACGTTTTCAAAACTTTTATATCCGTTTTCCAGAGTTTATTGAGAGAGGGATAATGGATGTCATGATGTAGTTAAAACATGAACAATAAATATGAAAACGAAAACGAAGAAGAACAACTCTTTAAAAAGCGACTCCTTGATAGAACACTTCAATAAGAACACTGGACCGAATCTCTGATTCTCTCTCTATATATACTGTGTATCAAAAGCCAGGAGCCGATTACTATCGGCTCCGACAGTCATCGGCTCCTGCAAAAGCCTTGTATTCGTTTTGATATAAGTTTTCTTTTCATTATTTAAACTTGGCCTGAAGAAATATTTCTGTCCTAGTTTCCAGAAAATAAAGTCCATTCGAGTACGCATCATATGCACATTCGTTTCAGATTTTAAAACATACTTTCAGACTTAAATTTTGATAAGTATTTCCTCTCCAACCACTCTCCGACAAATTCCTGCGTTTTTCCATAAAAATCACGTAATCTTGAGGTCCACAGCCATCGTGTATACCGCGCGAGAAATGACACGTACTTCTCAAAATCAAAGAGGAGATATTCTTGATTTGCCTCACCACCACTACGCTTGCCCCAGGACAGGACCGCTTCAAACAATTCCCCACCCCCGGGCCCGAGGGGCTGGACTTGTCCCGGGGGTTGCCCGAGGGGGATGGTAACAGCTCAAATTGAACCATGCACGAAAGTGAAAGAGAAATAGCGAAAAATTCAACTTCCAATTAAATATTTTTTTGTGGTTTCAGAATAATAATTCTCGAAACTGAGAGTGTTTTGATCAAAGCTGTGTAAATCGAACTGAAAGAGTGCATGGAATCATGCGTTTCCCGTTTTTATCTCACCTGTTGTATGGAATATGTGTGAAAATCTTCATTATGAATCGGTATAAGAGCTATACAACGAGCAAGAATGCTATTGACCAATAGTATGCAGAGCGGAGACAGCTGTAGTGTCAACTATTACTAGCTATTATTATTATAAAACTTGAAAGTGCAACCTGTGTCACAATGTTTTCTTGCAAATTGTGTTGTAATTCAATGTAGGCGCGTACATGCGAGAGATAGCCTGCGTAGCAAGCGTTTCCGTGCGGTTTAGGAGCAAAGAACGAGGAACGAGAGTCAAAGACCGCGCAAAAAATGGCGTTAGTAAAAGAGCGGGGAGGGGGTGGGGAAGAAAGGAAGGAAACGCTTTCAGACAAACCCCGGGATTTTGAAAACCGCCCACTCCGCCCTCTTTCAGTTTTTGGCTCTTGTTTCATTTCTCGCGCGGCCAAAACCGAGAATCCCGTTCCTCGGTCTTTCTTTGCTCCTAAACCAAACGGAAAGGCTTACTACGCAGGCTACGCGAGAGAGGGAGAGAACAAATAGATAGGGAAAAGGAGAAAGAAAAAAGTGGTTTTATAGAATCACCACGTGACCAGATTTTCCCTTTACCTGTCATTTACTGTTCATTCTATGTAAACGAATTTACCAGCCTCACATTAATATTTCATCCATAAGAATTAGTTTGCACAGTTTTTTCTATTTTGAAAAATCGTCAACTTGAAATTGACGTTTGCCTTTTGCTGTAAACGTCATTTCAGCTATCATAAGATATCGAACAATTATTTCAGAAGGCACGGCCTCCCTTCTTCAAGGTCTTACATACAAGGATAGATAAGGTTAAGCTAAGACGTTACAATTTGAAATAAATGATAGCTTGCGGTGTGATACTATAATAACACGTGAAAAAAAAGGTAAAAGTGAACGTTAAAAGTGATATGAAACAAATACTGTTGAAGCACTCTATCCTTTATTTCAAATTGTAACGTCTTAACTTAACCTTATCATTGTATGAAAAACCCTGAAGAAGGAAGGCCCCCTCTTCCGACGTATTAATAACAAAAAATATATATATTCCCGACTGTAAAATCAGCCTTGCCGATGGTCGCGATGCTTCCAACATACGCCACATCGCCTTTATTCAGCGCGGGCTTTCTACTCTACTACTCTCTCCTCCGCAGGGGCCTCTTTGTATCGTTAGGAGTCTTGGGAGAGGGGAAAAGAAAGCGCGCAGGGGGACTTCCCATTGTCCCCCGCGCACTAGCTATTTTTCGATTATTGCTATTTTTATTGGGTGAGAAAGTGCCCAGCGGTTTTCTTGATAACAAGGGTTTGTGGGGGTTGCTCAGTCTCGTGGGCTCACAAAGCCCCCCTTTGGTCGATGTTATTTTGTATTTGCGCTTTATTGGGATACCCAGCATGAGCCTCTGCAGAGGAGAGAGACTGTACTACTACACACACCTTGTTATCATGATCGCAGAGCGTGATAACACTCCATATAACTTGAATAGTGTACTTTTGGCAGTGATCATTACTTTAACAGCACAATACGGTGGAAGCTCTCCAGACGGACACTCTCGTAAGCGGACAGCTCTACTTACGGCCACCTTCACATTACAAGAGCCAGTTTTTCTCAACTCCCATACAAACACTGTATTTTTACAATCCCTTAAGTGGCAAGCTCCAGCCACGGACACCTTTTTTGCGTCGCGAGGGTGTCTACTTACGACAGTTCCACCCTCGCGTGGGGTGATTTTCACGCGCGCTCGCGAATCCGATGTTGAATCAACACATCAGCCTGAAATCATCAACCAATCGTAACTAAGGTTCATGACGCTAGGTGAAACATGATTCATTCATCCCCGGTTGACCACAGACTGAATTATCGCTCAAGTAAAATATAATATTTCAAACTCAGCTTAATTTCATTAGAAACGGGTTGACTGTTTTGTGAGAATCGGGGCTAATTGTAAACGTTTTTGCATCTTGATTTTCCAGTTTTTTTNTGATAACACTCCATATAACTTGAATAGTGTACTTTTGGCAGTGATCATTACTTTAACAGCACAATACGGTGGAAGCTCTCCAGACGGACACTCTCGTAAGCGGACAGCTCTACTTACGGCCACCTTCACATTACAAGAGCCAGTTTTTCTCAACTCCCATACAAACACTGTATTTTTACAATCCCTTAAGTGGCAAGCTCCAGCCACGGACACCTTTTTTGCGTCGCGAGGGTGTCTACTTACGACAGTTCCACCCTCGCGTGGGGTGATTTTCACGCGCGCTCGCGAATCCGATGTTGAATCAACACATCAGCCTGAAATCATCAACCAATCGTAACTAAGGTTCATGACGCTAGGTGAAACATGATTCATTCATCCCCGGTTGACCACAGACTGAATTATCGCTCAAGTAAAATATAATATTTCAAACTCAGCTTAATTTCATTAGAAACGGGTTGACTGTTTTGTGAGAATCGGGGCTAATTGTAAACGTTTTTGCATCTTGATTTTCCAGTTTTTTTTTTTCTGCGGATGACATGAAGCTACACGTATAGTTAAGATTTTAAGGACTCCAACGTGGGATCGTACTCGGTCATGGCACAGGTTTTTTCCGCGTCACCTGTCTCTTATTTCTTTTCTATTTGAGTCGCAAGTCGTTAAGGTTGTTGGGAATTAGAGACCCTCTCCTCTTTCTTTCTAAGGCCAATGAGCAGAATGGATGAGCTTATTAATGTTACCCCTGAAGCTGAGAAAAGGCCATTGTGTTTATCGACCTTATAGAAAAAACGCTTGCTTTTCTTGACTAGCTGGGGAGATGCCGATAAACTGCATGTATATTGACTTCAGAAAACTTTTGTTCTACATTAACCTGAGAAAACATCCGATATCTCACGACGCCACCACTATCTTCCCGGGTAATGACCTCTGAAGAACAAGCGCTGAAAGTCCATACTAATGACGTGTCACTACCCAGATCTTGCATCTGAGTGATGAGACAAATTATCAACCAATTGGAAGCGCTGCCCAGATGTGGACAGTGACACGTCATCAGTGTGGAATTACTGCCCTCGTTTCTAAGACGTTATTTCGTAGAGCAACTAGTGGTGGCGTCGCGAAATGTCGGCTGTTTTTTTCTAGCTCGTTCTACATTGTTATTGATGTTATTTTTGTTTTGTATTTTTTTTTTAAGTTTGGTGTCTTAAATGTTACCGCTGTTATGATGCAGTCACGCAATGTCATCCCAGCGGTAACAGGTCCACAGTTCTCGAGTGCACTCCGACAATGAATCGATGCTACATGAGAAAAATTACGGAAAAAGAATCTGAAGACCAATTGGACGTAGGCTGCACGAATGAAGCTGGGTGCATGATACACGATAAACAATGTGCCAGCTCTGGAGACTGCACCTCTAGTTGTTGCGAGTCTGACCTTTGCAACAGCGGCCTATCGAGCAAGACATGCGCAATTTCAAGTTCTCTTCTAATAACTGGATACTTCGTAATCAGTTTTTTGTTGTGAGTTTCTTCCGTTCATCAAGACATCTTCCAGGAAAAATAACAAGGACGAAAAATTCCCTGACAAGAATTAAAGACAACAAGTTAAAGTAATCATCGTAAATGTACGTCTTTCAAGTGTTAGAGGGCTCGGGGGATACTTGAACCGAGTTCACTGGGGATGCAGTTACTGCTGAGGGTCTGAGCTCTGACCCTGTTGAGGTTTAAAGAAAACGGAACAAGACCTGATCTGTTTAGAACGACGCGTTCTTTTCTAGAACCCTGTTTAGGACAAAAAACGAAATACCTGCTCCTTTCCGTCAGTGGAATCTTAAAAAAAGAGACTCGGAAAGAACTCGCATAAAAATATATAGACCCTTTTCAGGACAAAGAGGCCACATAGTAAGCCGTATGCAATCCAGCCATATTCCCCTCGCCCAATTATCCGTGAAAAGGAAATGCCTCCACCTCCTCTCGGGGCCTGGGCACTAAACTGTTTGGGAGATCTACGCAAACTAGGGCTGAAAATACTCAGATGGCTAAATAGTAAAAGAAAACCGCGTTTATAACTGTGACAACACTTCTTTTACAATAATGACAAAAATACTGAAAAAATACAATATTGGACATGAACTTATTTTTATGACTTATTTATATATTGCTGCCTAAGTGTAAATATACCATAATCTGATACAGGCCTATTTGGAACAGCTTAATTTACCATCTACCGAATCAGGAGCCGATTACTGGATTACTAATCGGCTCCTGACCGAATCCTTTTCTATCGAATGAGCTAATGTAAAAAAGCACAGGACAATAATGTCCCTAACTATCTTTTATTTAATATTAAGTCTTAAGTCTTTACTTAAGTATTTTCTTGAATATACAAGTATAAATACATACCTGAATCAACATGTTTAATATTATTAGTTAAAAAGTAAAAGTATATTAAAAATACAGTCTATTAATAAAACTAGCTTTAGAACGATGGGTTATTTTACATTAAACGTTATTTGGCAGTGCTAAATTAATACGTGCTTTCTTTTTTAGTTATGTTTTTCCTTTTTTAAGATTGTAAATACACTTTAAAACAAACAATGAAATAACCATTAAAATAAGAATTGGATTCGGGACTTGTGAATGAGGGTGCAGTGCTAAATTAATACGTGCTTTCTTTTTTAGTTATGTTTTTCCTTTTTTAAGATTGTAAATACACTTTAAAACAAACAATGAAATAACCATTAAAATAAGAATTGGATTCGGGACTTGTGAATGAGGGGACTAAATCTAACGCATGCGCAAGTATGCAAACAAGCAAGCTGTAGTCATGTTGTTTCATGCGACCCTTTGGAATGTTCATGATGTATGTATTAAATTCTAAGATGAGCTGAATAAACTAGGTTTTTATAATTTTCGTAGTACAGTAGGATGAGATACATTTTAGGGGGCTTTGTATGAAATAGGGTGGCCTGCACTTATTTTCAAATTCTTGGGCCAAGATTATGTTGCTGGTAAGCCGAAAGAGTTTGGCGCACTAAATCTTAGCTATGCCTCAATCCTGAATATTTACTTCGGTCTCAGCGGGTTCAAGTCTTCGCTCCTACTTATTCACTTCCGCTAAGCCGGCGAATACCGGTTCAGACTGCGTCAAACGGAGACACAAACCTATCCGATATGTGACGCTCCAAAAATCATCGTTCCTTTGTGAATAGAAGCCCTATCCCGTATGGTTTTCATGCCGGCGCAAGTTATAGACAAAGTGTAAACATAACCTGAAGAGCCGAGGTTTCTAAGTTATAGTGATTACAGACCAATCAGCCAATCGACACACATCTTTGCTGTTTTCGGTTCTAAGGTCAAGAATGAGCATAGTATGAACATGTCATAAAGTTGAATCCTTGGCTTTGGAAACCAGAATACAGTTCAAGGAATCCGGAATCCCCTAATGATTGGAATCCTGAATCCAAGTTCCACTGACAAAGATTCCTGAATTTATTAGTACCTGGAATCCGGAATCCATCGCGGGGAAGCGTACATGGAGTGAAACGTTGACAAGACATTTTCTTGAAGTTAAGAAAGTAGCTTTACATTTGTTTCATTTTAAAACACACCAGAGTGATTATTAAGGGTGTTTTTGAAGTCAGCTAATGAGGCACTATTTGAGCGAAAGATATTATATACTTCCAACAGCGTCCTTTTGTTTTTCTTTAAGGCAGCTGTGCAAAAAAACAAAGTGTTTTCATTTTTTTTCCAAATCACTCTAATTCAAGATTTGGCTGACTTACCTGCTATGGCTCTTATTCTTACATCACTTGTCTTCATTTGGCTCTTTCCAAAAGGTATTTACAACGAGTCTCATGATTTCTTGGTTACCTAGTTGTTCTACGGCTACAACAAGATCCAATAAGGCGTTTCATGAAGTTATCTATATCCACTGAAGACTGCAATGAGAACATTTGTAGCTAACAAATTCAAATTTAAAGTTTTGATGATTGTTTACGACTTTTTTCGAAGTGATTGTAAAAAATGCTCTAGAACAGCAGTTTTTTAGCCTCATAGTCACTCATTCGTTTTAGAGCGATTGAAAACCTATACGCCCATTTTGTAATCCTGCAACTGATCAAAAGAGAATCAATTTTTTAAATCAAGTTTCAGTTATTCATGATCAAGCAATTTTGAATTTATCTGCCAGTAGCTGCCAGTATATCGACTGATTGGCCAAAGCGGTGTTTAGCACGTTAAAAGAGGAAATAGTACTCAGTAGCTCTTAATTCATTCTGATACGAGCTTATAATTCATGATAAAAAGCCAAGAAGCTCATGGTTTAGTATAGTATCGCATGTGTTTTAACCGCTGGACTGTTACTACCTGAATTAAGTCAATTTTATAGATGAGGATGACAAAGATCTTTAACGTTCTGAAACCTGTCTTCAAGTTTCGTGGTTGCTATTTCGCTTAAGTGCGTTGAAGTAAATTAAAAACAACTTACTTCCTTCACTAAACTAAGGGGGACTCTCGAATATCATTGGGCCTAGCTGATCTCTGTTTTGATTTTTGCCCTTAGAGGCTCTAATGATTTCAAAAGTAATGAAATCTGAAATCTGAAACGACCAGCTAAAAAGAACTGGTTTGTAACCTGAGACGCGACTTGCACAAAACAGAACCAGGTTTTGAACTTAAAATATGATCAAATATGGCTTCGGTCTCGAAGAGCTACTGTGCCGGAACATTCAAGAAACGGGCCCCTACAGTTGTGTATTACAGGTGATGGTGTCAGCAGGGTGGCCGGTGTGTCGCGGTTAAAAATGTGGTGATTATCGAATCATTATATGTGGATGTAGCTACAACCAGTTGCAAAAATGATGAGACACTCCCACGGAAAACGACCTTTCTTGCTTCAAATCGCTCCTGGTCACAGGTCGGTAAAATATAATACTGAACTCCCTCCTCCCTCCCATTCAAAGTTGTTCCTCCAAGTTTTGAGTATGGTCTTGTATTGCTAACAACTTTGATAAGAGGTGGAAGGGGGAACACAAGCACAAGATCATGGACAGGCCATTTATGCCAAAATACGGTGCAGTGTCGCAAGTACTTTTGCAACTGGTTGTAGGAGGGTGCGGGGTGTGTGAGCGGGTAAGACACGTGACTATGGTTTGACCTATATAGAGTTCGTTTCTTAAGGAAAAATCGGATTCGCATTCTTAAATCCAGAACAGATTTTTCGTTCATTTATTATAATCCAAAAGCGAATTCTGGACCTCACGAATCCCCACTCGGAGTGGATTCATTCATTAGATCAAAATTTCGGATTCGCGCCCAGTGAAACGCATGGATGGTCAGTCATAAAAATCCGGATTTAGAATAACATTCCTAATGAATTCATTCAGAATGGCGTGGATTCTTTGGATTCAAAGTGATCCATTTTGGTCGAGAAAGACAACATCTTTTCGGATACAGCAAAACCTTGCGACTAAGAACCTGGATTTTAAGAACCCGTTAGGCTAAAATTTGCCAGTTAAGCCCCCTCTATAATAAAAACCTGTTTAAACTAAAATTTAAAACAGGTTCCTATTTTCTAAAATCTATGAAAAAATTCTGTACACTTTGGCAAATAAGGTAAATCAACATTCAGAATCGTCTTTGGAAACATTGGTGCCTTATCACTCCAACTGCAATGCAACGGTATGCAGGTTTTATAATGAGGAATAAGCTGAACCACTACTCTTATCTCTTATCTGTATACTCAATACTCTTATCTCTGTTGTATTTTTTCTTTCTTTAGAAAATAATAACCTATTTACGAACCTAAACAGGCTAAACTTCTGCTAACTACCATTTATATAAGAACCTGTTTACACTAGCTTGGAAAAATCCAGGTTCTTAGTCTCGGGGTTTTACTGTACAAGAATCGGCATTTGAATTACCCCCCCCCCCCCCCCACTTTTTTTTTTCTTTTAACTTTACATTTTTTTTTCTCAATGAAATCAGCGCAGGGAGGGGGGTGAGGTATTGTTATGCAGAGCTGTGAACAACATACGCGTACTTATGCAATCCGATGAGCTTATCAGGAGTGCGTGTGGGACAAGAGATCTTAATGTGTGTTGTGTTTTATTGTTTATCTTAAATATTAACTCTTAAGTCGCTCTAAAAGGGCTCAATTTGAGGCAATTCCAATTGATTTAAAAACACTCTTTACAGAGCATAAAAAAATTCATGTCTTTATTCTCGCAGTTTTAATTTAGAAAAACCGGTACTTTTATTTCGCCCCCCCCCCCCTTAATTTTTTTTGCCCTAAAAATCTTATCTTTCATCTGGGTACCAGGGCGAGACGGGGAGGAGGATTTGGTTTTGGAGTGGGCCAGGCTGAAGCCTTGCGGCCTTATGTCCTGAGCCGGGATGAATAGGTTAGTGCGTGAGCAAATGAAAAGCCTCTGGCACCAAGTGGTACTAGTATCAGTTTCAAAGTTTTACAACAGATGCTAAAGGTACATCCATTACCTGAGAAAACAGCCGGCATTTTGCGACGCCATTATAATTTCCCCGCGAAATGACGTCTCCTTTCCCAGATATGGGTAGTACTTCTGATTGGTGCGTGTCGCGGCGCGGGAAATTTGCTTCAACCAATTAGAAGCATTTAACCAGTTCCGGGTAGTGACACGTCATCAGTATAGAATTTCTGCGCTCGTCCTCAGACGTCATTTCGCGGAAAAACCAGTGGTGACGTCGCAAAATGTCCGCTATGTTCTCCGACTTCTACATCACTGCGAAATTCATGATCTCAGTCTTTGGTGTTGTGATTCGCAGAGCTAACAGGATTAAAATGTTATACATGTGACGGAGTCGCGGACTGCAACAAAGAAAAAAACGAGGAAGTATGTAGTCAAGAACCGACTGCCATGGACAGATGCCTGTTGATGATTGACAAAAAAACCGACAGGGTAAATGTTAATCTCAATTTCTCTTCATTAATTTGTCGCTCTAAGTATTTCAAGTCCCACGAACAGCTACTGCTTAAAACCATTTGGATAAACCTTTCAAAGCATCATTTTCTATATTAATTCATTATTTATTTATAGTCATCACACGTAAGAAGGTAATTTTAATGCAATGTAAGAAAGTGAAATGTAGAATGTATGATAGGTCTGGTCCCGCGAAATATTTCTATTCCAAATTCGCGAAATTAAAGTCGCGCGAAAATAAGAAATAAGTAATAAGGTACGCACTATTGTGCGTGCAGTTAATCTATTGTCTTCTTATGTTTGGTTATATAGCTATTTTGCACTAGTTGTTATAATCTGTTTTACGTGTCAATTAAAATTACTCTTATCTGATTTGTCCCCTTAGAAATTTGGATGACCTTTGGAACTCGTTATTTTCCTGTCTGAATATGATGCCTCATTTTTATACTTTAGGGCCTGTTTTATACCGGCAGTTTTGGCTGCGCTGATCTTTTGTCTGTATAACAGCGTGTTTGAACTTATAGTTCAGTTAATATGTTAATGATTATTTCTTTCAGGTGGCAAGGAGTTGTTCCAACGACAGGTTGTGTGGAACTGCTACCCAAACTTGTGCACAAACCAATGAAGCAAGAACTGGGGATTGTGAAGTCAAATGCTGTAAAAGTGACCTATGCAATGCTACCTCCAATACATCCCCTCTTTCTTTGTTTTCTCTGATGACCTTTGCAGCTACTGTTTTGTTAACAGTTGTTTGTTGAATGTCATCAGACGTCTAGTCGGCAACACTTTTACGCAGTAAAATCCAGGACCGTAATTAGGACGCTATTAGTGTCCATCATGACCATGTACACAAACTGCACGCTCACGTTATCTCGGAATAAAATTTTATAGCTGCGAAAACAGTGATAATTAAAACCAGTCTCACATTAACACTCTCTTTGGCGCTTCTACCCTTGTTGCAAAGATCTCCATGGCAACATTCATACGAGCATGTACCAGCCAAAACGGTATGCTTATTACAGTGCCGATCGGAATTATAACAGTCAGTTTGAGCAGCGCAGTCTTTTATAAATATTTTCTTGATGTTACTGGAGGCGTTCGAGCTTTCTTGGCCGCTAAACGTAGCACAGTGTTCTGTACCGTAAGGACATATCCTTTTAACTCTCTTGATGTTACACTGCTTCCATGATTCTGTGCTTTGACAGGTGAAGCAGGTTGCTCCTGCAAAAGAAATTCACAAAAAATTGGCGCCTGCAGTATTTGTAGAATAAAAGCTTGTGGCCGAGCAGTGAATTAGAGAAGTAACTTTAATTAAACATAAAGTTAGGAGTCCCAAACTCACGGACACAAACCAGTAAGCTATTTACCAGAGTGGTCAAGGATTTGAACTCCAGGATCAGAACGTGAATTAATCCAATTGGTGGTCAGGACCGGACTCTTAAACTCGGGACTGCGGATTACAATTTCAAAGCTCTAACCCCCTCGGTTAACTCCATGTTTTGTTTAATCCATGTTCTATCAATCCAGTCCATTTTACCACTACAGTCCATATCAAGTTTTATCACATGTCCGCTCGGTTTCGCTGCTTTCTGAAGTTAAAGGCAAGTTACTACATAATACTGGCCAGTCAAGTAACAAAATTCTCCTTTTAATTATAACCAATTATTTAATAAAAACCTAGCGGCTTTAATGGAAATTGTATACTCAGTCTCTAGACATCATACTTATTTGATCGTTTTCATTGCTAGAGAATTGTAAGTCATATATATTCGTTGTTGCCATTAATATCGTCCCGAGATGGACAATGTGCACACCTTAGGAGCGCACTATTAGCAATGCGGTAAATACTCCAAGTTCTAGATTGTACACTGTTAGTTGGTGAAATGATTGTCCTACAACTCCAGGGCGCGTATAGTCACTTCACCACGTGACTGTGCAGGTTCTCAACTGATTATACAGAGGCAGGGGTATTGACTTTTGTTGGCACTGAATTTTAAACCAAATGTCTCTTTCAAGACAATGGCACACAGAGGTTTACTGACCTGCGCAGTAGCCCCATCCTGTTCCGTTTCTTGTTTCATCAAATCCAGCCTGGGTGGCGCACCAGTGCATCTTGGGGGATTTCCCCTCTGATGTCGCGCAGTTTGTGTACTCGATACCGCGATATTGAAAGGGAAAGACGCANGTGCACACCTTACGAGCGCACTATTAGCAATGCGGTAAATATTCCAAGTTCTAGATTGTACACTGTTAGTTGGTGAAATGATTGTCCTACAACTCCAGGGCGCGTATAGTCACTTCACCACGTGACTGTGCAGGTTCTCAACTGATTATACAGAGGCAGGGGTATTGACTTTTGTTGGCACTGAATTTTAAACCAAATGTCTCTTTCAAGACAATGGCACACAGAGGTTTACTGACCTGCGCAGTAGCCCCATCCTGTTCCGTTTCTTGTTTCATCAAATCCAGCCTGGGTGGCGCACCAGTGCATCTTGGGGGATTTCCCCTCTGATGTCGCGCAGTTTGTGTACTCGATACCGCGATATTGAAAGGGAAAGACGCAGCAAATTCCGTCGGTAGTTCTTACAAAGCACTTTGATTTCACATTGATTCTGACTGACAAACAAAAGAGGTGTCAAAAATTAAAAAAAGGATCTTGAAAATAATTTGAAACGTGCAATCTGTTCAATCAAATAGCTCACACTTGTATTTGCAAAATAAATGGCTGCTTCAGTTTGAATATTGAAACCTTTCAAGACCTCCATTCAGACCTTTTTCAGCCAATAGAGAAGAGAAGTGTGACGTCACAAAAATTAAAATTTTTGTGAAATTATGGGATTGGTTAGCGTATTCAGAAAGAACAAGATAAAAAAGCCCTTTTGCTAAAAATTAGCCTATCAGTGCAAACTGGCGAGGAGATATAAGCACCAGTTTGTTTTGATGACCTCATACAAATCCATCAAGAGGATTGGATTGTAACGTTAACGATCCACGTCTATTTCTTCTCTTCTCTTTCGATCTCTTAATTCGCTCCTCTATTTTTAAAACCTAAAATAAAAAGTAGTTTTCCCACAGTCGTTTGTAAGAATTCCAATAGTCGTGTGGTTTATGAACTCGATGCGTGAGTTTTACTCGAGTTCACGTTAGTTTCGTGGGATTAACAAAAGGAAGTTTAGCCTTCGTTTTATTTCGACACCCAAAGTTAAAAACCTCGTTGGGGGGGAGGAGGGGTACTTATACAAGTCATACAGGTATGTGCCTCCCTATAGCAGGGTTTTTGCTCCATAAAACAAAACTTAATGCACGACTGGCACTACGGCAAAGGGCGTTTTGGTCTGAAAACGGGTATAGACTTTGCTAGGCTGATTTTACAGTGGGGAATATAGGTTTTTCTTTTACCAATATTTCGGAAGGCACGGCCTTCCTTCAGGGTCTTACATACTATAATATTGGGAAAAGAAAAATATATATTCCCTAATGTAAAATCAGCCTTGCTTCGTTTGTTTCTATATATCCTATTATAGCTGATAAGATCCTTTATTAGGGTCCGGTCCTTCTTTTATGGAAGTTGATCCTTGCTTTCAAAATTGAATAGACTTTGCTCAATTTGGTCTGGCATCGGGTATGGTTTTCAAGGGAACTACTGGAGCATATAGAACGTATTGATCCCTTCAATTCCAAATGAGTAAGAAAGAAAAGAGAAATAGGCGACCGGAAGTGGATTTTACGAAATCTTTCTTGCTACTGTTCTAATCTAAGTAACGATGACATAATTCCTTAGAGACCAGGTCTCAAAATGGTTATGGATTTTAGAGGCCAGGGGCTCGTTTCTCGAAAGTCCCGACAATTAACGGGCCCGGTAAGCTGTCTCCGTTTACATTAAAGGTCGAGGTTTCAATAGTTTGGCATCTAACATGATAAAACTGTCAGTTAATGAAACAAAATAGAGTAGTTTGCCTGCCAGGACCCGCGCTCTTATTCTTTTTGCCTTTCTTTATGGGAGTTTCGATTTGAATATTTGATTTCGGGCCCGAAAAGTTACCGGGACTTTCGAGAAACGGGCCCCTGGTCTGGAAACGGGTGAGAAAAAATGACGTCTTTTGGTCTGAAATAGGGTCAAGACTTGGAGAACCGCGCAACACGCACACTCCCACCAAGAATTCACAGGAGTACCCCCCGGGGAGTTAGCTGAGCCTTACATTTGCAGTATCCCCAGCCTTCAGTGTGATTTTTATCGTACTTGTAGTCTGTAGCGCACCAAAAGCGATTGTTAACATCTCCATGACTTGTGCAGCTTTTGTATTTCGTGTTCTTGTAATAAAATGGAAACTGACAGCAATTGCCATCAAGAGTTCTTTGGGCACACGCTACGTTTTTCTCGCATAAATAACCTGCAAAAGTCAATCAATAAGAAATGAAAATTCATCATTATAGTTAATAGGTTAACTAAACTCTTTCTTTTGATTATTGTAACTGCTTATCTATAATTGTAGCTCTACTTTCTCATTGACCTACCGTTTGGCATCATTTCGTTAGGACAGCACAAAAAAATCCTCGAGAAATTAAGACAACGAGTTTTCCAGTGTTTGAGCTATTGATGATATATAATGACCCGTATTGGACATATAAAAGATCTTTTAAGAGCCCAGTTACCCTTAACAATATATCAAGCCTGATATGAATTGTAATGAATGACGGGCATTCGCACTAACGATANTTCATCATTATAGTTAATAGGTTAACTAAACTCTTTCTTTTGATTATTGTAACTGCTCATCTATAATTGTAGCTCTACTTTCTCATTGACCTACCGTTTGGCATCATTTCGTTAGGACAGCACAAAAAATGCTCGAGCAATTAAGACAACGAGTTTTCCAGTGTTTGAGCTATTGATGATATATAATGACCCGTATTGGACATATAAAAGATCTTTTAAGAGCCCAGTTACCCTTAACAATATATCAAGCCTGATATGAATTGTAATGAATGACGGGCATTCGCACTAACGATAGCCAGTATATACTACGATGAAAATGTTAAGAATTTTCCTAGTGTGAACTGCCACAACGTCTGACTGTGCCCTTAGGTGACCTTGGGTGGGACGGCAAAGCGTACAACTGAGAAGGCAACCTGACTTCTCTCCCACTCTCTCGGCCCCTAGGGCTCGTCTCTCTAGCTAGGGGACGAGTAAATGAGAGGACTGTAGGAACGATGTTGTAGATTCTTTGACTTCTTTGGCTGACTAGCCTGATTCTCAGGACGTCCGAGGTCGTTCGAGGGGCCATTTGTTTCCCTCTCCCTCTCCCGAGGGAGAGAAGCGAATTCGGACGTCTGAGAATTAGGCTATGGCTTCGCTTCGTTAAAACCTGGTCAAAGGTTTGCCTATTCACTAGGCCTCATTATTCCGTGCGGGGCTATGCGTTTCGCGTCACGTGGTCCGTGCTGAATGCATTGACCTAGAAGGCCTGGGAAGAAGCCGTTTAATGACTAGGCTGAGCAAAAGTTACTGACCGAGTTGGTGGTTTAGATACACAATTATACAATCTCTTTGACCACGACCGCCTCACAATTACCGTATAACAAACAACGAGTAAAATCCTTTGCGTACTAAAACAGCGCGAAAGTTCAGACAAGGGTTCAGAATATTATGTTTCAAAATTGTGGCGGTTCCATAAAATTGTTACATCTCAAGCTAAAAATACCGATTGCTTCAGTCATTGTACTTACTGACTAAAGCCAACTCATACCACACCGACCATTTGAGTTACGAAGTCTTACGGAAATCCACGACAGCTTCCCGAAAAAGGCCCAAAGAACGTTTACTTTGGAATATAGATCATTGGGTAGCATCATAAACTTGGATGGAAAACTCGTGAAACATTTTATTTCTCAACATCACATAACACAAGGCAGTGTCTCCGTTAGATAACAATAATATTTGGGTGCAAATGCACAAAAAAAGAGCTCGTCTCATAGCCTGCGTAGCTGGCGGTATTGTGTAGTAGTCGAGTGAGATTTGGCGGCGGAGCCGTTGTAATATAGTCGAGTTAGATTTGACGGCGGAGCCGTCACGAGCGGCGAAGCCTTGAGAAATACCGCCTGCCAGAGAACCATGATTTTTCGAATGCCGCCCACTTTTGTCACGTTAGCTGATCCCAATTAAATCAGCCAATCAAAGAGAAACCAGTTTAGAAATAAGCGTTGACAGGCTAAACACGTCTAATTATCTAACTGAGGGAGCCCATTCCTTATAAGCCCGGTGGCTTCTCTTGGGCTTCCTCGCCATGAGAGTTTAAGTAATTAGATTTTATTTGATTTGTATAATTTTTGGCAAATAAAACAATAAACAAAACAATAAACGAAAAAGACCCAAAGAACGTTTACTTTGGAATATAGATCATTGGGTAGCATCATAAACTTGGATGGAAAACTCGTGAAACATTTTATTTCTCAACATCACATAACACAAGGCAGTGTCTTCGTTAGATAACAATAATATTTGGGTGCAAATGCACAAAAAAAGAGCTCGTCTCGTAGCTAGAATCGGTAGTTCTGTCGGCAGAACGGCAGGTGGTCCATGGGGAAGCCTACCCAAACACACGGTAGGACTGCGAATTTGTATTGGAACCCTAAAATTATGCAAATTTTTTCTTTATCGGATCATTCGAGTCATGCTGGATTTGCGGAAAATAATAAATGACTTGTGCAGCGATTCTTGAATGCTTTGAATATATTTATTTTAACTTGGACCTGAAGAGTTCCAAAATATCACCCTCATTTTCAATCGCCGAAGCAGCAGTTTGACAATATGCACTAATAGCGTTTCAGTTCAACGGCAAGTTTCAAAAGCAGAAAAGCTTCAGTGCTCCCAGTTACAATAATGATTCACTTGTTTCATTTTTGACAGATGAAGGCTCAGTGCGTGCTAGTTTCAATAACTAAAGCTGATTATTTTTCTCATGTTTATTTGGCGGCAGTGAAAGTGACTGTGTGTCACGACAAAAGCGTCATAAAAATTCAGTTGACCACCTACGAAGGATCAAAGCGTTAAGTTTCTTAATTGAACGCAATGAACGGTTCAAAAGAACTTACGAGTGCCAAAATATAAAGACATATTCGTTAAAACATAGCCGGAAATTAGTACCTACGCGACCAGCCGTTTTCTAAAGGGAAATTATTGTCTTTGAAAAGACCCGGATAATTCCAAAGATAACTAGGCTTCATACTGATATCTTGCCAAAAGCGCCGGACTTTTGTCGATCAACTAGCAGACGGGCAAAGAGAGACGAGTAAGATTAAGATTTTTAAATCGGTCTTTTCATTTTCTTACTTACCTTCTATGAAAAAAGCCATAGCAGCAAACAAACAAGCAATGTTCATCTTTGATGGCACAAGCGTGATGTACACCTGGTAATATTGTTATGACCTAAATATGCACCACATCAAAAATGCCACATTATTATACTTTGCCATGATTAATATTTCATGCCACAGACAAACAGACAGAGAGCCTAATATAACTGATTCGACATCCGTCCAGAATTACAAACCGAAGCGTAACACCAGCGAATTTTTGCCGTCCTAGAGGAAAATAAATCGATCGAAAATACACGAAACATGGTATGATGCATGGACTCTTCGGATTATAGTGTCATGTGACCCTTGTTTCGTTTTCGTATTGCGTCGTTTAGTCCTTAAATTTATTCATTGACCCTTGAAAAACGGAAATATTAGTGGAGCTAAGGCCAGGGGTGATAACCGTATTTACACCGCTCGCAGAAGGTATTAGAGATACTGACTTTTGTGATGAAAACCGTAAACAACGTGATAAATCATGTGCACATATACTTTGCTTCCTCGGTCTTTTTGAGGCCGTGAGCCTTTGACGCCCTTTTTGTCGAGAAATGAAGGAGTAATGAGTGGAAGCCCTCCTA